GTGCTGGTGTGCACACGCAGGGGTGCGCAGGGAGATCCCTGGTACTGAGGCGTACATGCAGGTGTGCACGGGGAGGTCCTTGTTGCAGGGGTGCACGTGCAGGGGTGCACGGGGAGGCCCCTGGTGCTGGTGCACGGGTGCGTAAGGGTGCAAGGATGCATAACGAGACCAGCTGTGCCAGTTTGCATGCGCAAGGGTGCATAGGGAGATTCATGGTGCTGGTCTGCACGCACACAGGGATGCACGGGGAGATCCCCGGTGCTGTTTGCACGTGCAGGGGTGCACAGGGAGAAGGTCAGTAGTGCCACTGTGCCCCTGCATCCCTGCACAGGGAGATCCCAGGTGCGGGGGTGCGCGCGCAGGGGCGCAGGGGTAAATCCAGGGCTGCAGAGAGACATGGGTGCTCCTGGTGCACACACCCCCAGCCATGCACAGGGATGGCGCGGGGCTGCACCATCGCCGTGTGTGCGCGTTGCACGGGCCGCCCTGCATTTCTGGGCAGCCTGCCTGCAACCCTGCCTGCATGCGTGCACAGGGCTTCGTGCCTGGGCCTTTCCGTGCAAAATCGCACGCCTCCAAAGCTTCTGCTTGGAGGAGGTGGCCTCAATCTCCGATCTGCTCTTGCAAGGGGAAGCAGCAGGTCGGCATCTCCGAGATGTGCATGTGCATCGTTGGTACCCTCCTGCCAAACTCGGCTGGGATGGAGGCTCAAAGCTCCCCGGGTCTCGTTGCTGCGGCGTTAGTCCATCCTTGAGAGGGTTGTGGGGTTTAGAGCCTTTCCCAGGGATATTTCCGAGGCGGGAGGTTTCCCGCTGATGCTGATCCCTATGTGATGGGAGGGACCAGAGACGTGATGCGCCGAGGTCTGCGCTTGCTGTGACTTCGTTGCTGAGCTCCACCACCCGTCCGGCGCAGGCAGGTCCCGATGGGGCGGTTCCCGCAGCATCCGAGCTGCAGCAGGGACTTCTCCTAAATTCAGGATGGAGAAGGCGGTGCCGTCACACGAAGGGAAGATGCAGTGGGGTGGCGCTGGGGTTTGGTCTGTACAGAGTTTCTTCCCCTTCTCCCAGGGCTTTCCCCTGGAAAGCAGGGGAAGAGACTCCCTCCCTCCCTCCCT